AAATCGAATATATTCATAAATAATTTATTAAAAATTATGTTCATTTACACCTTTAATCCTCAATTTAATTTCTTCATTTAGATAGTATATTAATATGGCTCCCGAGTTAATTATAAACGACAACAAAGTTAATGTCATTCTTTTCTCTATTGAAAAAAAAAAAAAGTCTAAAACAAATTATGAAAAGTAAATAAAAAATTGTTTTTTTGGTTATATTTTTATGTTTATCTATAAACAAAGTGAATATTTTTTGTTATCATTTTTAATTTTAGCAAATTATAGAAATGCAAGTTTAAAATGTTTAAAAGAAAATGAGAATTGCTTCAAGCTAGAAATAATAGCTATATTTTAGTTGTTATAAATTTTGTTAATGCAAGTTTTAATTTTTTTATTAACATTCAAAATTAAATGAATTTATTTGATAAAAAAAAAGAATTCACTTACATTAATATAAGTTTTATATTTTCTTTACTTTTGAATTAAAATTAAATTCATGACTAATTTTTAAAAAATAATATTTTAATTTTAACTATTTTAATATAAAAATAAAAAAAATTTACATTAATATAAATGTACCCCTAAAAAATATAGTTAAAGTTTTTTTGGCCTAAGGAACATAGCCCATAGTCAAAACGTTGCTGATTTTATTATTTTAGCTACCGTGGAATATTCTCTTTATATTTTATTAAAAACTCATACGCGTTCTTGTTACGCGGTTACGAAGATAATCCACTACTAGGAAAAAGTGCTAAAGTTTACACCGAATTTTTTATCTTCATAAATTTAATTTTCCATTAATATTAAAAATAATACCCTTTATATTAATTTGATATAATTTGTACATGGACCGAATTTTATATAGATATAAATTTTAGTTAATATACATTTTAATCATTTATAAAACATATAATTATATATTAAAATAAATAAAATAACAAATATTCACCCATCACGCATATGACAATAAATTTTAATAAAAAAATATAATATTTATTATATTCAAATATAAAAAATTACACTTATTGTTAGATTAAAATGTGTTATGGATTCCTATACTTTTTGATTTTTAAAAATTTAAGATTTGTAATATTATTTTTAATAAATTTAATCTCTATAGTATTATTTTTAAGAAATTTAATCTACGTGCATTATTAACGATTAAACTAAAATTTTTAAAAATAATATTATAAATATTAATTTTTTTAAAATAATACTAAACATATTAAATTTTTAAAAATCGAATAATACAAGAATCTATGCCATATTTTGACCCTTATTTTAATCTATCTTAGAAGAATATAAAGCAAATAAAAAAAAAGGGATAAATATGCAACTATAAAAAGCATTAAGTTCATATGTAATAAAGATTTGTTTATATATATAAAAAGAAAAAGAAAAGTATTGATGGGCTTACAAATTATTACTCATTAATAAAAATTAAAAGTAAATGAACCCATGTGATGTATATACATGCACAAATGAGTTGATCCAATTTATGATGTATAAGGACCAATTAATTTGGATGGCTGTTAGTTCAAGTTTAATAAATCAAGCCACCTTTTCTACATGACATCAATAACAAACCTTAAATTAGGTTTAGCACTCAAGTTAATAGAAAATTTACTTCAACTGTTCGTTTTAAACTAAACAAACAGTTGAGAACTCTCATTTAGAAAAAAAAAAAATTGCAATTTGAAGATAAAAAATAAATTATAAATGCTAAAACTAAAATATCAAATTTATTAAAAATGACGATATAAATCAATTGAATAAATTTTTATAACCAAAACAGGTAAAGAATTTTAGCATCAGTTTCCTTCAAACTTATACAAGTAAATAAAAAACATATATTGTTAAAGAGATTCATGCATATTCATATTTGTTAAGAAAATTAAAAATAATAACAAAAATGAGGGCCATGAATTTTTTTCTCCTTTAAATTCAAGTTTTGAACAACTTTTCTTTTTGAAAAAAATAATTTTTCTTTTATATGTAAAAAAAAAAGTGTTTTTAATTTAATTTTGAATGAAATCAAATATGAACAAATGACAACTGGCCAACAAAATATTTGTGAAAATATATGTGGACAAGGAAAATATTATTGGTCGTCAAAGCTTTGATGCTTCCTGTAGGAGGACGGCACCAAAAATAAGTCCAACTGAACCATCGAAGGCCCAATTTTGCCTGTTTTCTCTCTCTGCTTCTTTTTGAATTGGACCACAACATATGAAACAAAGAAAATTTCAAATTGAACAGTGTTTGCACCCATGGGTGGATGTGTCCGTACATTCCCCACAAAATTTTTAAAATTTGTTCCCAAATTTTCAAATGCCAAATGTCATTTTTGGGGTTTCAAGAAATTGTTTAACTTTTGTTGCTAGCAAGATAGTCGTCCCCACTGGAGTGAATATAAAAATATTTATTGGTAATTATGTAATCTGTTAATAAAATATTAAATTTTTAAATTTTAATTGTAAATGTTATGTGTTTAATAATGAAAAATATTATCTATTTCAATATTTTGTTTCGCTTCATATAATAATAATTTATTAATTTTATTTTTATATTTATTGATTTAATTTTAATATTTTAATCATGAATTAATGAATTTGTTTTTTGGTTGAATAGTCTAAGACAAATAGCATGATTTTCTAATAATTATATGTCGTGTTAAAAATATAAATAATTGAGACAAAAGTGATGGAACAAAGTATCACAATTCCAATAATTTTAAGTTAAATCTTTTGATTCTCTTTATACAAAATAAAAAAAAAAAACTTTAATTTTTATAAGCTCTAAATAATTCATATACTATTTCCATCACAAATTGTTAGAGTGATATTAATTTTCACGAAATTTGAAAAAATTTAGACTTTGATTTATCTAACATAAAAATTAAATTTTTTAAAAAAATTAAAGTTTTGTAATTTTTAATATCAAAAAATAAAAAAATCATAAAATAATTTTAAAATATAAAAATTTTAGATATTAAAAAAATGACATAATTTTAAAATAAAAAATTAAAAAAAAGAGACAAAGAAAATATATAATTATTATAATATATAAATGGCCCCTTAAAAACTCATATTTTTAAAATTAAAACAGATTATTAATTTGATTTGAAGTTAGCTTATCTGCTAAAGTTTATTATTAAGAAATGATGAGTGGAAGAAAGCTGGTTACATGGTATCTCCGAAATTGTCAAGCTTGTTGACTCTATGTGAAGACCGTGTCAGAACGGTTGACAAACATGCTTATCACAAAGCAATTAACAAACCGCGTTAATTTCCCGTGACAGAATTACTCATCACTCAGACAACTTACCTTTATTTAATTATCCCTACTATACGAAAAAATATAAAAATAATATAATTTAAAATTTTATTAAAAATTATATATAAGTTTAATAAAAATTAAAAAATATATTTTATATTTAACATATTAATATAATTTATAATATAATTATTTTTATATTTTATACATATTAAATATGAAATAAATAAATATAATTATATAACTTATCAAATCTACCCACGATAAGGTAACAAAAGAAGAATTAAAACAAGGATGCGTTTGATAAATTATTAAAAAATTAAATCTCCACGTAAAAGGAAAAATTTTGAATGTGTATTCCACTTTAAAATACTTGATAAGGTGGATAAAAAAAATATATATGAAAATTTTTTATTTCTATTGACATATAATATAACCCAACCAACCCTTTTCCTTTGTCTCATCTTACATAATATCATTAAAAGTAAATTTAAAAAGTTTATTAAAAAGCAAGGGTTACCTAAATCTAATAAAATGAAAAAAAAATTATTGAAGGTTAGTGAGGATTCAAATAGAAATTTGATTTTTTTGTAAAATAGATCGTAACTTGAAAATATAACAAGAGATTATAGTATTTAAATTTAAATTTATCGAATATCATATTTTAAAAATAATTATTCAAAAAAATTATAACATTTTCTCTTATACACAAAGTAGTTCTCTAATTATTATTATTGGTAATATGTATGTGTAACCATTTTAGTTTTTTTTTTTTTTTTGTTACACGTTCATCATAATCAATTTTATTTTATTTTATAATTTCTTCAATTTGAGTTATAATTATAAAAAAAAAAAAAACTTGTGCAATGTAGCATATTTTGTGTTTCAGTAATTTATAAATCATTTTTTGCTATCAAATTTTATATATTTGATATTATAAAAAAGGAAATTGTAAAAGAAAAAATTGATATTTTTCTCAATTTGTAAAGGATTTATGGCTTCTAAAATTTTAATTGTTATAACAAATTGATGTTTTATCTCAGTTGCTATTCAACTTATTATAAAGTCAAATGGTATTAAGATTATTTATTTAAAAGGGTGTTTGATAATTTTTTTTTTGTTGAAAAAAATTTAGATGATGGAGGATTATCTTATTTTAAAATCAAAACATATAGCAAACATAAATAAAAATTTATATTGAATTTACATATAATTCATTTAAAAAACACAATGATAATCAAACTTAAATTTTATAAATAAAGCATTCTAATCTTATTAATTCAATCAATCTCAATTGATCATGTTTGATAATTTAAGTGATGTTCAAGTTAGCAAAAAAAATGATAGAATAGTAATGAATCTAACCAATTAAAAAAAAATGAATTTCAGTGTTCCTTTGATTATTTGAAATTGAAAAAGAAAAATAAGAATAAAATAAAAAATTCAATTATCAAAATCAACTGCAATGTCAGAAATGAGAACAGTTGAAATATATTTAGTAAATTAAATTAAAAGAATTAAAATTTTATTTTCTCCAACGAAATTTTAAGAAGATACTTTTAAGAAGAAGAGAAATGGGATGAGAAATTTACATTCTGGACTTTTTAGGAAGGTAGGACCCAATTTGCATGTGCCAACTATTTTCCCTTTTCCTGGAACCAAACAGTACATACGAAAATCAAACAAAGGAAAGCAACTATATCTCACTCTTACTTAAAAATAAAAAATAAAAAGCTGAATTTTTTTTGTTTAATTTGTCCCACTTTTCTTTCTCTTCTCCTTTGTACCCGCCGTTTCACTCGCTCAGTCATATCTCTCTCTTTCTTTTTTCTCTTTCTCTGTGAACTCTGCCTTTTGAGTTTAGCTGATCATATCATCAATGCCGCCATAACCCTAGAAGAAAACCAGTTAGCTAAAAGTAACATACGGGTTGCAACTTTTCTTTCAAATTCCCTCACTTTCTCTCTCAGTTCTCTCTGGTGAAACAAAAGAGAAGAACAATGAAGAAACCCCATTTTGTGGGTTGTCTGCTTTTTGGGTTTCTTTCAGTCCTTTGCTTCTTCACTTTACAGGTTTCTTCTCAGCCCAGCCGTGACTCTTCAGTCATGGAAAAGCTAAAAACAAGCCTAAAGATCCCTTCTTCCCTCAACTGGTCTGAACCTGACCCTTGCCTATGGGCTAAAGTTACTTGTGAAAATAGCAGGGTCATCAGGATCCAAATACCGAGCGAAAATGTTGGTGGAACCCTTCCTCCTGATCTCAAGAACCTTTCTCAACTTATCATCTTTGAAGTCATGAACAACCAAATCATTGGAGCAATCCCAAGCCTTGCTGGGTTAAGCCAGTTGGAACAAGCTAACTTTCACAACAACAATTTCTCATCTTTCCCTTCAGATTTCTTCACTGGCTTAACTTCATTGACTGCTATTTATCTTGACTACAACCCTTTCGAACCTTGGGAGATTCCAGAGAGCGTAAAGGAAGCAACTTCTTTGAAAACTTTCTCTGCCAACAAGGCTAACATTAAAGGCAGATTTCCAGGTTTGTTTGATCCTGTTACTTTTCCAACCTTGACAGAACTGCATTTGGCTATGAACAATCTTGAAGGAGAATTGCCTGCCGAGTTTGCGGGTTCTATGATTCAGTCTTTGTGGGTTAATGGGCAGAGTTTGAATGGGACAATTGAAGTGATACAGAACATGTCTTCTTTGACAGAGGTATGGTTGAACTTGAACCAATTTTCAGGTCCCTTACCTGATTTTTCAATGTTAACTCAGTTGAGGAACCTGAGTTTGAGAGATAATCAGTTCACTGGTGTTGTTCCTTTGTCTTTGGTTAATTTGAAGTCACTTTATATTGTTAATTTGACTAATAATAAACTTCAAGGGCCAACGCCTAAATTTGCTGATAATGTACTTGTGGATACGATTGCTGATAGTAATAGATTTTGCTTGGATCATCCCGGTGATGCTTGCGATAAGCGTGTTACTATATTGTTATCCATCATGGAAGCTGTTGGTTATCCAGCGACTTTTGCTGATAATTGGAAAGGGAATGATCCTTGTAATAATTGGCTAGGTATCACTTGTACTCAAGGAAACATTGTATCTGTTCTTTTTCCGAACAAGGGGCTTACCGGTACAATTTCTAGTAATTTTGCTAATCTTACTTCATTGATTAATTTGGATCTTTCGGGTAATAATCTTACTGGGACAATACCAACAGAGCTCACTACGTTGCCAAATCTCACTCGATTGGATGTTTCAAACAATAGGCTTTATGGGAAAATACCGTCTTTTAGGCAAAATGTTGATATAATAACTGTGGGAAACCCTGATATTGGAAAAGATAGGGTTCCTACACCAGAAGGCAGGTCCCCTGGTAGATCTCCTGGTGGATCTCCTGGTGGTGGGGGTGGTGGTAGTTTTTCTGGGAATGGTGAAAAGAAATCCAATACAGTGACGGTTGTGGGTTCTGTAATTGGTGCGGTTGGTGGCTTGGGTCTTCTTGTTTTGGGTATATGTTTGTATGCTAGAAAGGGAAAGCGTACTAGTAGGGTACAGAGTCCAACTACACTACTCATACATCCTCATGATTCTGGTGACCAAGATGGAGTTAAGATCACCATTGCGGGATCGAGTGTCACTGGTGGAAGTGAAACTTTCAGCCACACGAGCAGTGGACCAAGTGATCTTCACTTGGTTGAGGCTGGTAACATGGTAATCTCAATTCAAGTTCTGAGGAATGTGACAAATAATTTCAGTGAGGAAAATGTGTTAGGAAGAGGTGGTTTTGGTACAGTTTACAAAGGAGAATTGCATGATGGAACAAAGATTGCAGTGAAAAGGATGGAGTCTGGTGTTGTGAGTGAGAAGGGTTTGGCTGAGTTTAAGTCTGAGATTGCAGTTCTTACTAAGGTTCGACACCGCCATTTAGTTGCGCTTCTTGGATATTGCTTGGATGGAAATGAGAGGCTTCTTGTTTATGAATACATGCCTCAAGGGACCCTTAGTAGGCACCTATTCAACTGGAAGGATGAAGGGTTGAAACCGCTTGAATGGACTACACGACTTACAATTGCCCTGGATGTGGCTCGAGGTGTTGAGTATCTACAATGTCTGGCACAACAGAGTTTCATTCATCGAGATCTTAAGCCATCAAATATTCTTCTTGGAGATGATATGCGTGCCAAAGTTGCAGATTTTGGCTTGGTTCGTCTAGCTCCTGTTGATGGTAAACAGTCAGTTGAAACAAGACTTGCAGGAACATTTGGGTATTTGGCACCAGAGTATGCAGGTAATTTGGTTTTAGTTTTTCTACATTTTATGATTACAAATCCCTGCACATTATGCCTTTTTCTCTTTTATCATTGGAAAAGTCTTTTGTTTGTTTTGCTTTTGTCGAGGCTTCTGTTTTATTGGATTAAAGAATAAGTGAAATATAGAGTATTTACTCTAATCATTAAGTGCAGTGTATTACATTATGTTAGACAATGATGTAGTTACATAAGGAAATATTTTAATGTTATTAACAGATTGAGACACTTCTGAGCAGCTCCTGGTGTGCAGTAAATATAATTTCTTTTTTGCTTTCACTAACTTATATAGAGTGATTCTTCATTTTCTAATTAACCAACAAAAGCATTTGCTTTATACTGGTTTAATATGGAACATCCTTTTTTTTTGGGTCAACATTGTCACTAGAAATGTTCATTTATTAAGTTATTTGTCCATTTTGCCTTATTTGACTATGCAAGCATATGTTAAATTTAGTCACTCATTTTATAATTTCTGGCATTTGAACTGAAAATTTTCACATTTTGGTAGTTACCGGACGAGTGACCACAAAGGTGGATGTATTTAGCTTTGGTGTGATCCTCATGGAATTGATCACGGGCCGAAAGGCACTTGATGAAACTCAGCCTGAGGATAGTTTACACCTTGTAACATGGTTCCGTAGGATGTACCTAAACAAGGACACATTCCGGAAGGCCATTGATGAAACCATTCAGCTTGATGAGGAAACGCTTGCCAGTATTAGCACAGTGTCTGAGCTGGCTGGCCACTGCTGTGCAAGGGAGCCCTACCAGAGGCCAGATATGAGTCATGCGGTCAATGTGCTGTCATCACTAGCAGAGCTCTGGAAACCGGTGGAACCTGATTCTGATGACATATATGGCATTGACCTTGAATTGACTTTACCACAAGCATTGAAAAAGTGGCAAGCTTTTGAGGGAAATAGCAATTTGGATGACTCTTCGTCATTTCTGGCTAGTACAGACACTACAACCAGTATACCATGCCGGCCATCTGGGTTTGCCGATTCTTTTGCATCGGCAGATGCTCGATGAAAGAGATAAAAAATGGGGCAAGTTCTAGTGTCAACTGATGGTTTTGAGACGTTTGGGTTTGTTCATTCCTTCTACTTGTTCATTTCTCATTGTAAGGTTTGCTCTCCTCTGTTATATTTTGTTGGAGATGATTTCTTTCTCCCCTCTATTTCTCTTTAGTTTGAACAGTTTAAAATTTTCCGATGTCTTTTAGAAGTTTTAAAAACGCAATCAAGAAAGGGCCGATCGTAAATGTCTATTCCTTTCAGTCTTTAACTCTACTTCTGTTAGCTTCCTATCGTTGTTCAAGCTTTGTTTGCATCTGATAGTTTGTATTCTCATATTACAGATATTATAAGATAAGATGTTAAGCAGCTGTTTCAAAGTAATCTTTTCTCAAGATTTGACATTGGCAGTTGTAGTTTGTTGTATGTTTGAAAATTTCATGGCGATGCCTTGTCGATGCTGATTAGGATAAGGATTAAACTATAGTAGGTTAGAACACTGCTTCATTAACTTTTTTTTTGTTTTTCCAACTGAAAGATACTTTTATCTGTCATGTTCATTTTTATAACTTATGTTTTCCCCCATGTGCTGTAATGAATGTAAAATTTAAGCATTGTTTTGTATGGTGTATCGCTGCCATGAAAGGAGGGAGTTTGAAACTTGCATGTTTGGTTTATGGTATTGGATTCATTTACTTAAGCCACGTGCCACAGGGAAAGTGGCTTTCATGATCAAACTTTTATATGAAGCCCCAGCCTTTGTGCCATGTGTCATAAATGCATTGGCCGGGTTGATGATTTTAGTTGAATAAGTCAACCAACTCCCATTAATCCAACCTAATGCTGAAATAATGAGGTTTCTTTAAGGCTCTCAGCAGGCCCTGGTGAAAGGTATTCCCTCTGTTCACAGGTTTTTGGTGAAGGAATGATGTGAGCAGATTGAGACACTCCATGGAACACGCAAACAGCTCATCCTCACCCAAGACTGTCCGATAAATCTATGCCGTTTGTCTTATCTGATATCTCAATGGCCGGACACATGTCAATCACAGAGTGGTTGTATGTCTACATGTACTGCATGCCAGCTGTATTTGTTGCCAACATTATTCTCCACCTTCAGACAAAGGCACCTAACGTGGGGGTGCATCCCTCAATGTCTTAATCTTTAAATCCACACTGCCAATCATCAGCATTTTTTCTAACAATAGCGGATTTTGTGGCCCTTATTTGAAGTATGATGTTGACTTAATTAGTCATTATCATATGTATCCCCACTTAATTTGCCGCATTTTCAGCCTACCATTTTGCTCTTAATTTTTTTACTTTTACAAACCAAAACCGTTTTGTTTGGATTGAACATGATCAAAGGGAAACAAACAATAATTTTTTTTTCTAAGTTTTATGGAGATCTTTTTTTTTTTTTGTTTTAAAAACATATTTTTATATCAATTCGATGCATTTAAAATTTTATTTTTGAAATATTTTTATAGAAATTTAAAAAATTTTCATTTTTTTATCAATTGGATTATTTTTTGTGAGTTTTTACAAAAATGTTGAAAATTATCCCTCTTGGATGGTATAAAATTATTGATAATATTCAATCATAAGATCATTTAATCAAAATTAACTTGGTAACAAGCAAAAAAAAAAAAAATGAAATTTCCATTCAAATTTTTTACATTTCACAACCCTTTAACTCCAAGGCAACCAACAATAAAAAAAAGTCTTGATTTATTGGGTTTTTTTTAGTACTTTAAAAGGCTAATCATGTAGGGACATGGCATGGACATTGATATTGGTATCCCAAAAAGGAGGAAATGGTGAGCGTAAAGGGTAATGGATGCCCAATATGTGCTCTATGGGAGGGGTCGAGGGTCAAATAGGATTGTAAATAAATTGGACATGAATAAATAAATATATGTGTGTAATTTATTTATTTATTTTTATAATCATTAGTATTTATTAAAAAAATTATTTTATTTATTTATATTCATTCGTTTAAAAAATATATTATTTGCGTTTAATTTATTTTAGTTAAATTAAATAAATTTATTCATAAATATTAAATAAATATATTTATAAACATATATAAACAAATATATTTATAAATAATAAATAAATTATAATTAAATAAATTTAAACAAATAAATCATAAAAAATCTAAATAAATCTAAATAAATACAAATGAATCTTAAAATAAGATCAAAATAAAAATAAAAAAATAATTTTATTAATATTATCATAAATAAATAACAAATGAATAATAAATAAATTAATTTATGAATATAAATAAATCAAACTAACTTTTATTTATATTTAATCCGTTCAATAAAAAATATTATTTAAAATTATTTATTAAATATAATAAATAAATAAATATAAAATATATTCACAGATAATTTATAAAAAAACTTTACTCATTTACACCGTAGGATCAAGCTTAGCCATCCATAAGTGAGCTTTGTAGATAACGTGTGAAGGAGCATAGATTAAAAGAGTGCATGGAAGTACAACTGTTAGACTTGGTCATCAAAATGTGATTAAGACAGCCCGTCTGATCAGTGTGGGTCTGAATCTGAGCTGTGTTCTTCCCCGTTCGGCTTCTTTGGGTTCACGTTCACACTTCAATCTCTGTCCAATGATCCTTCAATGCGACTGCTTGCCTTTGACTTAAATTTCAGGATTCAACATCGATTTTTTGTCACCTGCTCTCAAAAAAAAAAAAAGAAAAATCTGTCGTAGTCAGAAATCGACTCAAGAATCAAATCATCTTTTAGTAATTATTTTTAAAAAATTGTGTTGGTAATTAACGGTAGATTTGTTGGTTCTCACGTCTGATAAGAAAATTGATCTCTCATCCACTCATCTAGAGTAATAATCGAGTGTAATTGAATCAATACAGTAAAAACTTTAAGTTTAAATTTGACTCTCAATTTATGATTTAATATTTAATTTAAATTTAATTTAATTTTATTTTTTTAATTTAAATTCGATTCGTGATCGAAATTGAGTTATTCGAATTCGTTGGATTAAGTTTGATTAATATATAAAAATAAACTCAATTCTTATATTCGACAAGAATTCGATTATTTATATTTGAATTCAAACTCGAATTCAAAATATTTTATTACTTAAAATAATAAACATATATTTAAATATAAAAATTTAATTAGACTCACAAGCTATTCAAATCGGATATAATAATACTCGAACTTGATTCGATTAATGAGTCAAGTTACTCAAATTTAAATTCGACTCGATAATAATTGAACCGAATTCAAATTTTATTCGAGATAAATCTGAATAATTTACGAGTGTTAATATATCATTTATATTCCTACTCTCATATCATATAACAAATAAGAAAAAAAAGGATAAGATCTCTTCTTTTTGGTAAGAATATAAGCTAGATTTTTTTATTTATCAAAATTTAATTTAATTAATTTATATAATTATATTTAAAAATAATTTTAAATTTTAATACTTATAATCATTTTTTTTGTTCAAAGATGTCATTATTATAAAAAAATTTTATTATAATTTGCAACAAATGTGAAATGAAATACTTATAATACTTTACAAATTTATGAAATTAGAAGTTTCCGAGAACTTAAATTTATTACAATGAAACTCATTGTAGCAGTCACCAGATTTTGATTGATTGTAATTAGAGGTAATATTTATTAGGTTTAGTTATTTTGATTAATATATAATGTTATAAAATTTCAAAATTCCATCCAAATTTTTTTAAAAATCGATTTGATATAAATTAAATTTTAATGATTTAATTTAATTTATTATATTTTAAAAGTATTTTTTTAAAATTTTTTGTTATTATTTTAGTATAGTTTTTAATATATTTAAATAAATTTATATATAAAATAATTATTTTATTTTATAAAAATTTAAAAAATATATAAACTAATAAAAATATATAATTTTATTCATTTCTTTTTTTAATTTTTAATTTTTTATCTTAATTTAATATATATTTAATGTCTAAATTTAATTTAAATTAAATAAAAAAATTCAAACTAAATTAAATATTATAATTTTAAATCAATATTTAATTTTTTTTTATTTTTTTCTCAGCCTAACGATAATGAATTGTGAAATTTTGGTTTTCAAGTTTCACAACGTAGAGTTGGTCGTCAAATTTTACTTCAAAGTCATACATTTCATATATGGAAAGCAACTGCTAGGGCTGCAACTTCCAAAAGGGTTTATTATATAGAATTACTTGTACATTAGCATTGACTTGACTCTATCACAGTCAAAAGAAAAATGTAGGACTAACTTTGATGGTTGCTGGGCCAAAATTGTTCTATTGGATCAAAAGGCCCAAGTCTCAGTCTTTTTCCCATTGCTATAATGCCATTCCAGAAGGATCATAGAGCCCAAAACTCTTATTTAATTCTAAATGTTTAAACTTAATATAGATTTGATAATTTAAAACATGACATAAATATAATATAAAAATAAAATATAAAAATAATATGATTTAAAATTATATATAGATTTAGCAAAATAAAAAAATTATATTTTATATTTTCGTGTCGATACGAATTATGACATGTAATTTTCATATAAAATACTATATGAATACATAAATTTTAATATTTTACATGATATAAATATATAAATAATCAGATTTAACCTATCATATGAAGTCAATATAATCAAAATTTCAAAATTAATGCGACTCACTAGTCCCCGCTAATAGCTGAATTTAACATAATTTAAAGATGAATAAAGTGTATCCAAAAATACTATAAAAATGCATTTGGTTCGTGAAATCTTTGATTTTGGAAGAAGGTGTGAATTTTTGAAAAGTGCAATTCCCAAGGTTCTTTTATTTTCAGGGCATCTCGTATTCAGATTTACATGTTTAGTTTGAAAGAATCTACATATATTAATTCATGAATAATTACTATAATCTTTTAGAAATATATGATGGCAACTTTTTATTAGTTGTTATTAATAATAAATAGACATATGACAAATGATGCATTTAACAACAAAAGAAGACAAATATTTTATTTGATTGTTATTTTTATTTATAAAATATCATCAATAAAAAAATATTGAAGATTATTCAAAGTATTTTTATTAAGAAATACCTTAAATAATCCATTTTATTTTTTTTAAAGGATTATTTAAAATATTTTTTGATAAAAAATACCTTAAATAATCTTTAATATTTTTTAAAGAGGATTATTTAAGACGTTTTTTGTCAAAAATAAAAAATACCTTAAATAATCCATTTTATTACTTATAAGATTTAAGTAATAAAATATAAAAAAATGAAGTATCTCAATCGATTAGAGAATATGACTATAACTATAAGGCTATAGGTTTGACATTTTCCTCTAGTGTTTTAATGTTTTTAAAGGGTATTATTTAAGATATTTTAGTCAAAAATGTATTAAATAATCAATGTCATTACTTATAAGATTTAAGAAATAAAATGTAAAAAATTAGAATAGCTCTATTCGTTAGAGTGTATAGTTATTAATTATAAGGTTGTAGGTTTGATCTGTTTCTCTAACAGTTATTTTTTGGGATTAATTATAAGATTTTTTTTGAATTATTTAAGGCGTTTCTAATAAAAAAAATCTTAAATAATAGTGATCAAATTTTTTAGAAGATTATTTAATATATTTTTTGCCAAAAAATGCCTTAAATAATCTTATTCAAATTTTTATAGAAAATTATTTAAGGCATTTCTGGCTAGAAAACGTCTTAAATAATGCTGATCAATTTTTTAGAATATTATTTAAGCCATTTTTCATGCTAAATGTCATTAATTGCAATATAAAAAAATTTGTTAGTAGTAAAAACTTACAACTGACTTGCAATTACTTTCAAACATGTTTTTCAAAATAATAACAATTATTTTATTATTTAGATCAAATTTAGAAATAATGTAACTTTTTCCCTTGGAATCCTAAAATACTATAAGGAGAGGTAAGTTTTTAATTTTGAAACTTTAAGTACTGTTGAGAATTTGCCACTTTCCCTTTGAATCAAATTACCTTGAATTATACATTGAAATCAAATACCCACTAATAAAATTCTAGGAAAAAATGAATGAATTCTCCCAAACTAAACACCCCCTAAGAAGTTTAAAAACTGGGAAGGTCTCTTATGCATAACATGTTCAGTTTGATAGAAAAAAAATGGATGGTTGATTTATAGAAATGGAAAAAAATGTGCTTGGATTAGATATGTCTATAAGTAGTAAATGGATTGCAAATGATTTAATGATTTGTTTGGTAATCGGGTTAATTAGGTTATTAATCCATGTTCGACCTTAATTGTATGTAGATTTGACAATCTAAAATATGACATGGTGATACGATACGAATATGATATGATATAGGACAGAAATGTGATATAGCTTAAAATTTTAGCAATAATAATAATATCTAGGTTTAACAAAATAAAAAATTTTAACACAAATTATGACACGTAATTTTCGTATAAAACACGATACAAATACATGAATTTTAATATTTTACATGATACAAATACACGAATCGTTAGGTTTAATTATGCAAAAATTATGATAAAAAATAGTAAGATATAAGATTTTTATAAAAAAAATAATTTAAAGATAAAAAGAAGGATTGTGAATATTATAATTTGAACCATTCACATAAAAACAAGATAATAAAATTTCTGATACAAACATGGCCAACAAATCAAAATTCAAGTTAAATTGCATAAAAAAAAAACCTTATGCATGCAGACTATGATATAAATGATACATTAGTATTCGCAAGCTACTCGGATTCGATTCGAATAAAACTCGAATTCGACTCGAGTTCGAACTCGACTCATCGATCGAGCCAAGTTTGAATATTCTCATATCTAACTCGAGTAGCTTGCAAGCCTAATCGAGCTTTTATATTTAAATATATTTTTATTATTTTAATAAATAAAATATCTCGAATTCGAGCTCGAGCTCAAACATAAATAATTTAACTTTTGTTGAATATAAGAATCGAATTTATTTTTATATGTAAATCGAACCTAATGGAATGGCTTGAGTAACTCAATTTATATATCGAATCGAGCTTGAGCTAAAAAAACAAAACTTGATCGAGTTCGAGCCAAATTTTAAATTTTAATTTCGAATCGAACTCGAACTTAATACTATATCGATTCGAATTCGATCGATTACACTCCTAATATAAATTGATAAAAATAATAATTTTGAAATGAACAATCGAGAAATGTAATTCCTAGACTCAATTTGAACACAAGAATCAATATATTTTTAGATAAATTAATGCCCATAAAATTATTATTCATTAATTTCATACCACTAGTGAATAGTTTGGTCAATTAGAGGACAATATCAAACAAAAAAGAGTTTAGCTTTTGAGACTATCGATAACACCATGCATTCCCATTTACCATTGGGAAGTAAGATCCACCAATGTGACATATTTTCTTACTAAAAAGAACGGTCCATGCTTGTACTTTACCTACCCTTCTCGAAGATAAATAAAAGCCCCCAAATCAACAGTTTGAACTAAGCGTCAGCATTCACAACTCATAAGTCATTGATGATGACAAGGAGAAAACACTAAAACCCTGCTGCTTGAATCCATATCGCAGCAACCGTCACGTCCGGATTTGATCTATCTACTTGTTAATTCATCCGATGATTTCACAGTTTATTCAGTTATATGCGGAATTTTCATTCGTTGATTTGTCTATTTGATTATTTTTGATAAGCAATACTTGAATATTGTAATAATAACTTGATAAAAAAAACTTATTAACTGTCCGAATTTCATATCACTATTTAAGCACCAAAAAAAAAGAAAAAGCATATGTCACTATACTAGATTATTTTCTGCAATACAAAGCGTAAGTGATTCTGATTTGATGAGTTTCAGACTTCAAGTTGTATTGTCTCCCTCGCGTGCGTTGGCCAATAGCCACCTTCATTTTGTACTTTCACATTGCATATTTCTCCTAACATTTTCTTTGCCTTTGTTCCCTTTCGGCGCCGATTCTCTAGATACATATATATATAACTCTCATGCTTTTTCTTCCGTTGGGTCATCCCATTTAGACTGTTGAGCAAAATTTATTAGGGACTTGGTATGTTGGTCTCCTCATCCCAGGAAACACTTCATAAAGTTTTATAAATGAAATTCCTAAAATATTTTATTGTAAGTGAATAAATAAAAATTAAAATTAAAATTCAAAACTGATATATTAAAAGATCTCATTACATAGATTAAGAGTACAAAATTTGAAAAAATTTGATATATTTATTAAATAGATATTTTTAATAAAAATTTTATAGAATTTTTATGATTGAATAAATATCGATCAAATTTAAATTATAAACAATATTTTTAATAAATTTTTTATTTATTATTAATATTCAAATTAAATTCTATCGAATTAGATTTTTTATTAAATTATTTAAAAGTTTTTTACAAATTTCACCTTAATAACTTCATGTAAGTTTTGTACTTGCATCCCATGCTCTCTTTTTTTCTTTCTTTAGTCATATGTATTTGGCAATAGGTGTCGCCTTGTTCACTGATCTTGCTATTCCCTAAAAGAAATAAGAAACTAGAAAGAGAGATTTGAATCTGGAAATAAATTGTTGAATTCCTCTGCAACTCTCGTACGTTTTCTTTTCTTCCATTGTTTTTCTCAATTCAACATTAAATTGATTCTTATGCTCTTTCTTTCGTGACGAAACAGGTATAATATTAATCATGCACGAGTCTTTCCTTCTCATTTCTCTGTAAAAATGGGTTCTTAATTCCAACCAGATACCAGCTACAGCATATGCAAAACTCAATGACTTTTAATTATGATGAGATTGCCTATGATTCACGTTTCAGACATGGAAAACAAAAATAAATAAGAAGAATTAAACGGTGACGCTTTGCTACGCGTTAACAGTTGTAGATATTCTTCCGCTTCGCCCCCTAACGCTATATCTGCACTTCTCTACGCGTTAAAAGTTGGATATTGATCACCATGCACATATATGAATAGAAGTGCGCAAGTGGAGTTCATGCAAATTTGAAACTATGAAATTCAATAATTAATTTAATTAATTCATATAATTATTTTTAATATATGATATTTATAAAAAAAAAAGCATGGAATTCATCTTTAAGGAGTGGCCTGACCCCGATTTATTGGAATCCGTCATAAGGCAGTTTGTGTTTTGTACTGAAATTGCCTTAGGTAGTTAATTAATCTTTGAATTCAAAAGATACAATTGCCGCTCCTTGTTCTTCTATATTTCGTGGCATTTGGCCACTATAAAAGGATTGGAGAAATCTCTAGAAAATAGAAGAGAGAGTGCTTGGTAGATCTCTCAGAAAGAATATTTTACATTTTTGTGAAGGATTTATATTGTAGAATGGAATAATTTTTTTGTGATTTTATGTACTATCAAGTAATTTAGATTAGACGATTGTTTTCATAAATGAATCAAGTGTTTTTATTAAACAAATAATTCGTATTTATGTATATGATTATGCTCATATTTTCTATCAATGTCTAACAAATTTAAAATTAAAATCTTAAAATTTACTTTTTTTTTTTTCTATTTTCAAGTTTTTTTAAAATGCAAAATGGAAATTCTAAACTCCTCATCACATGGCTAGACCGACAGCTGGAGTCAGTCAGTCCACCAACTCTTACATTGACGGGGCTTTTGTTTATGGTTGTCTCAAAGTTTTGATTCATTCTAAAATCCACACCCATTATTCGTCGTCCTGCCACTATTGCCCCCTTTTCCCCTTTCAAATTGAATTATCAATTCAACGGTCAAATATTCAAAGCTTCATCACGCCCTCTCTTCCATGCTTTTTTATTTTATTAACTTTTCATGTTTCGTTCAAATTTAATAATTTTCTTCAGGTCTTCAACGTTGAACAACCATGTCATATTCATATATGGTAAGTACATATATATATATATATATAGATATATATACTTGCAATTCAATTCATGCGTCCAAGCAAAAACAGGCATTCTTTCATTTAACCCAAACAAGAAAAAGAAATTATAATATTCCAATGATGATTTCCTCCTGGAGAAGGAGAAGAGCTGCCAGGCGTGCAGGGAAAGAGCAGCAAAGGACTGAAAATGGGGAGATGGAGCTGACGATTCCAAGAGATTTCAGGTGCCCCATATCGCTAGACTTGATGAAAGATCCTGTCACGTTGTCTACAGGGATAACATATGATCGAGAGAACATTGAGAAGTGGATTGAGGCTGGGAATTTCACTTGTCCTCTTACGAATCAAGTGTTGAGGAGTCTTGAACCGATTCCGAATCACACGATAAGGAAGAGAATACAAGATTGGTGCGTTGAGAACCGGTCTTATGGGATTGAGAGAATCCCTACGCCTCGTGTTCCTGTTAGCTCGAAAGAGGTTTTGGAGATTCTTTCGGAAATTATTGTCTCTTGTAAGAAACGAGATGGAGAAGCGTGTCGAGATTTGGTGGTAAAGCTCAAGTCGTTGGCAAAAGAGAGTGAACGTAACAAGCGGTGCATTGTGACGAATGGGGCAGGCAGCGTTTTTTCAGAGGCCTTCGAATCGTTTTCCAGGGCGTCTTTTGATGAAAACAATGCCGTTTTAGAGGAGATATTGTCAGCTTTGACAATAATGTTCCCTCTTGATGGAGAGGCCAAGGGTTTCTTAGGATCAGTTTTGGCTATGCGTTGTTTGATATGGTTTTTGAGCAGTGGAGACTTATCAAGGAGAAGAAACGCAGTTTTGGCCTTAAGGGAGCTTGTTTTATCATCAGATCAAAGAAAAGTGAATGAATTATCAGAGATAGAAGGTGCCATTGAAGCATTGTTCAAGCTGATTAAGGACCCAATTTGCCCTACTGCTACAAAAGCTTCTTTAACTGTCATTTACCATATGATCACATCATCTTCAACAAATGAGAAACAAGTAGCGAAGCTTATAAATTTAGGCATAGTGTCGTTGTTAATAGAAACGCTGGTGGACACTGAAAGAGGCATGTGCGAGAATGCCTTAGGTGTTCTAGATGGGATCTGCAACAGCGGGGAAGGAAGAGAAATGGCCTGCAACAATGCCCTGAGCATGCCGGTTTTGGTCAAGAAAATCCTAAGGGTGTCAAACTTGGCAACTGAGTTTTCAGTCTCCATTTTGTGGAAGCTTTGCAAGAATGAGAAAAGGGAAGATGGTGGCGTCCTCGTTGAAGCTCTTCAAGTGGGTGCTTTTCAAAAGCTGTTGCTGCTTTTGCAGCTTGGCTGTGTTGACAAGACAAGGGAGAAGGTTTCAGAGCTGTTGAAACTGTTGAATCATCACAGAAACAAAATTGAATGTGTTGATCCCATGGATAATTTCAAGCATCTGAAAAGGTCATTTTGATTGTAATAATCTAGGCAAACCATGTAACAGATAGTGTAGGGAAATTTTGGTTATAATTTACAGATTACAGTCCAATGTACAAAACAAAAATTAAAGTATACAGTTTCATAAAAATGCCATTACTATATTGATGATTTTGGTATCAAAGAAGGATTTGTATTTTTGTTTGCTGAAAAAAAAGAAAAAAAAAACCCAGGTTCTTGGTGTCAAACTAATCTGGTCAATACAAGGCCTAGCTCCAGCCCTTTAAAGCCTGCCCCTGGAATAATAATGGTAGATTAGAATAAAAACAATTCTGGTTGTTAGCATTAACAAGTCAAGATGAAACTTTCATTCCGTATATATTTTGCTTTTTAACATGAATTTGATGTTTCTCCATTACTTTCTAGTTTCCACACATTAAACTCTATTCGCTTTTTTACTTTTTTTTAGCATATATCAAAACGGTAATATTTACCGATAATCACGTAATTTATTAATAAAATATTAAATTTTAATTCCAATAACGAAAAATTAAATTCTGATAAACTCAAATACAAAATAGTTAGTCCTCTGGTAGGTAGTTGTCTAGAAAGGTATTCAAAGTGGGCTAGCCCTTGGATTTTTTAATCTTATATCTTAACTCTAAAGGCATATATATATATATATATATATATATATATATATATATGTAAGTAAAGCCGCCTCGAGAAGGTAAGTAGGGCACCAATGACTTCGTCTATGCCCCTGCTAGTCTTTGGCCTTTGGTATTTTCTCGAGCGTCATTACACATTTTAAAGCTTTTGCTTTCTTCTTTGACTTAGTTTCACTAAAAAATGAACACGCAAAATTTTTTATAAAGCATATCGTAATATGAGAATAAAAAAAATTATAATTATTAAAATTTAAATTCTAAATTTTTTAAATATTATAAACAAATTAATTAAATTAAGTCACGAATTCGTATGAATAAAATTTTGAGGAGATATATAAATTTTTTTATTATAATTAAAAATAAATATTTATAATTAATGGTTATTAGTGTATAAAATGAACTGAACTATATTTTAAAATTTGATACCTAATTAATCGGTAAAATTTGAAAATTTATGAATCCTTAAAATAAATTAATATTCGGAGAATGGATCATAAGAGGCGTGCTTCTGGATTCGAGTTTTGTAGATTTATGGGGATTTTGGGTCAGTTAATTTATGGGCCAACTAAATGTGAGAAGTGGTCGCTCAAACTACAAATCAAATAGAAGCCCAATCACCAAAATGTGCTTGGATTATTGGATAAGTGGTTTGGTGTTATGGAGATTGGGCTGTCATTTAACCAGGGCCCACTTTTATCATTTTCACTTCGGCCCTTAAACGACGATAACTTGACCAAAACGCTATTTTTATGGTTTAAGTAGAAACCATATCGGGTCTATGCAGATCCGATCCAAAAATCCGAAATCCGAAATCCGAAAATGGACGAATCACTTTCAAATCCTTTCCCCGAAACCCCTTAACCCGCCATGACCCTCTTTCCTCACATACCCATGTGAAAGTCCCTTTAATTACAACCCAGCCACTCCCTTGTTCCTCCTCTTCTCTCTAAAATCTGAAACCTCAATGCCTTTTTTCTTAATCTCTAGGGTTTACTAAAACAAAGTAACAGAAATGTCTCTCCCTCCTATAGAGTGTATATACGTAACAGAGGAAATCATGCGAGAGGGCAAAAATGGAAATTCAAACTTCTCCTTCTCTTCCTCCGTTCCCGTGCTTCGCTTTCTCTAAGAGCTCTACTGGACCATGCTATTTTTGTTTAAATTTTTAATTTGTTTTTGCCTTTAGATTTTTTTGTTTATCTTTTTTGTTGCCGTTTGATTATTAGGTGCGTGGGGAATTGCCGTTTCAGAAGTGCAAAGCGGTGTTGGACGCAATGGAGTATGCGGAGCGAGTGTCGGAGGATGAATTGGGCTATTGCTTTGCTGATATCGTCACACAAATGGCTCAAGATGTGAGTTTTTTTTTTTAATTTTTTAATTATTATTCTTTGTATGTTGAAGCTTATTTAATAAGTAGGTAGAAATAGGGTAGAGAGGTGGGGGAGTGTGGTATAGACTACTATAGAGAATGCGAGATAGAGTTCTGGATTGTTCTAATGTGGTTGTTTATTCGTAAGCCTTGGGAGGGAGTAGGGGATAAAGGGATGGATAAGGAGTGGGAGAGAGATCTTGGGATTTTTATAAGTTCTAGTGTGGTTGTTTATTCCTTCTTTTTTTTTTTTTTTTTTGTATTTTTACGTCTTATGTAGCTAAGTTGTGCTACCCTTTTAGATAGTTTTTTTACTGTGTTTTTATTCTCGATAGATATGGTTGTGTGGCTCACTTCTCCATCTTTACCAGCTGCGATGGTGTTTTTGGTGGGTCGTTTATTACCTGCGTTATATTGACTGTGTTATAAACAGCCAATTTCTGTATCTGGAATCTAATACTTGATATGTCTAATTGTAGCTTATAACCTTTTTCCTAATTTGCAGCTTACAATGGCTGGGGAATACGTATACGTTTGATAAAAATGGTTAGTATATAATCTGAGATGCGTATATGTGTTTGTGTGCAATTTGCTTCTGTTTTTTTCATTAATTCTTCTGCTTGTATCTCTTTTTTCCTTTTTAATGTCATTAATATTATGTTTCTTGAGCATAGTCAGAAAGGAGTTCTAACTGGAACTCTTTTATGGTAAAGGCCTTTTTGATGGGAATGAAAATTTAGGGCTAAAAGACTTTAGTCTGAACTGAATGCTTAATGCTGTAAGGTCTTAAATTTCTTAGGCTCCGTTTGATTCGCAGAAAATGACTTTCGGAAAATGATTGTGGGAAAATGTTTACATTTTCTGAATTAAAAGAGATTTTTTGTTGTTTGAATGAGTTAATGAAAAATATTTTCCGTTGTTTGGTTGTTTTTAGGAAATTTTATTTTTTTTATAAATAATATTAATATAACTATTAAAATATTAAAAATTATTTATTAATAAAATATATTGAAACTATTTATTATTAAATTCTTAATATTAAAAAATAATTATATATTAATAATAATATTTAATATTAAAATATTGTGTTAATATTAAAAATCTTAAAATAAAATTATTTATTATTTATTAATATATTATATTAATAGTATATTATTTATTAATAATAAATTATTTATTCATATATTATTATAATATTTATTAATTAAATTAATAATATTTATTATTGTTTTATTTATTAATATAATATTATTTCTTAATATTATTTATTAATATATTATATTAACAGTATATTATTTATTAATATAATATTATTTATTTATTAATATAATATTATTTATAAGTAAGATTATACTCAAAAGTATTAATAAATAATTAATACTCATAGAAAGATCTTTTTCGGAAAATGTCTTACCCTTTTCAAATCTGTAAAACAATTTCTAGAAAATTGGTCTCATTTTTGATTGACTAGTAAGTCATTTTCTGTTGGCCAGCCAATTTTCTACCAAACAAACATTTGAAAATATGAAATTCATTTTCCGGAAGCCATTTTCCACAAAACAAATGGAGCCTTAATTTATATAAGTGAGCAATAAATTGATTCTTCCACAACTACTGTAGTGATGTATGAACTTATTTAGGTTCAATATTTATCATATGGTATAAAAAGAAGACACTTAAAAGTAAAAAAATAAATTATCCACATTGTAGAAAAGATCAGAACATGTTTCACAACATTTTTCTATTAGCCCTATGCTTTACTATTATTTGTTATTAATTATTAAATATTCCTCATCAGGAGGATGCAAGAAGCATGAAGCTTCTGACAGCAACAATTTTATTTTCCATGTGAGGTTCTTCTTTCATCTTTTGCGTAATTAGTCTAGAATTAGTTGATTAGGGTTTTAACTTCCACTGTAATATGACTTTAATGATATCTCCATGGAATTAGGAGAGATAATGAAGCATGGTTGAACATTGATTTGGATATTGGAGAGTGAAACTCCTTTTAAAGCATTAGTGGGTAATATTTACAGAATTGACCAAGAAAATGATAACTTTATAGTTGATTGATTGATGTGGAAGAGGATAAAGTAGGTGAGTTGTTGCCATTAAAAATAACTATATGAACTTTCTAATAACTTGGGACTTGGGAGATGGAAATTAGAAGCTCTCAATACAATTAAAATTGAATTTGCTTATTTTTTCCATTATGATTAATTGAGTTTTAATTGATGTAGGATTAGACATCATCAAACCCTTTTAGATGAGGTACTGATTACATTTTTATTGTTCCAAATGGAGTTATGGAAGAAACACATTGTCTATCCCAAATCTTTTGTTAAAAGCTTTTTGTTACTTAATGATGTTTTACAAATGTCCTTTCTTTTCTACAATTAATCTTTTAATGATTTATCTGCTTAGATCAAATGAGGATTTCATGCAACGTGGTTATGATATGGATATTGTCTATGCCACTGTTGCAATTAGAGCTAATGGCATGCAGTTCCTCTATTGATTTTCTGATTATAAAGTGGATATTGGTGCTAATCTTTGGAAGAAATCCTCTGAGACTATTAGGAGCCACTGACTGGAGGAATCGAAGGAATCTCATATAAATCAAGGGTTTGGTTTGTAATTAATTTTTTCCTTATGTTTTGATCAATACTAACAGCACTTCGTTGTTGGACAACCAAATTTTTGTTCCGTTCATGATATTCTTATTGGACATGTTTCCCATAGTTATATGACCTTTATGATTCTTTCTTTGTATATTGAAGATAAAGAGAATTTTTCTGTTGCTTATTTGCTGGGTTTATGGTCTTTTTTTTAGGCAAAGTGGCTAGTGGAGTCTTTTTTAGTTCCATTGAGGCTTTTTCAGGAGTGCAGTGAGGTAAAATATTTTGTTACCTTGTTGTGCTGTTGGGTTATTTGGTCACACATTGTGTATTTCTTTGTTTTAGTCCATTGGGATGTATTTTTTTTTTTCTGAATGAGGTGGATCTCTGTTGACATGTTACCTTTTTGGTAATGGAAAAATACCTTATTATAACTATTACATTCTAGGAAGAGTTCCTGTGGGAGACTGAAATGATCAAGATAAAGGCTCCTGATTTGAAGGTTAAAGGGGTAAGAAAATTTAATATTATTGCTGTACTCAATATATTTTGATGCATGGTTAGTTTTATGGTTTGATGCATGAAACTTGAACTGTTGACACAATGAATTATATTTGGAAATACAGACTTTGTTTAGCTATGAGGGTGATAAATTCTACTTCTATGAGCAATTCTAGGTGTCATGCATGTTGGCATGCTAAACTGATTAAATCAGATACATGCACCGGTATATGTGACAAAGTCATGAGGTTGAGGTAAACTACTGACTTTCATCATCTGATGATTTTTGTGTTGATTCCAGGTCAGAGTAAATACACGTCTTCTTTATCAGCAAACAAAATTTAACCTCCTTCGAGAAGAGAGTGAGGGCTATGCTAAACTGGTATGACCTCAATTTGATAAAATTTCATGGAAAATATTTGCTCATGTATTCTCCTTTTAGTTATATTTTCTTGAAGATGTGGTATGAAGCTTTTTCATTGATTTATTTATTGATGTCTCGCTGCCTATTAGAAACTTGTGGTCTGGCATTTGTTATTCTTTTAGCTGTTTATTTTGATGCTCCTATAACCCTGTAGTAATTTTCATTTTTTTTCTAGCATGTTGGTGGATTTGCAAAATTATATTGTGGTTGATTTCAACATATCAAACAGACCATGGTGGATTATTGTTGGGCATACAAACAGAAATTATGATGTGAATGGGAAACCATTAAGGTGATTCCAGAAATCAGATTAGTGATTCAATACTAGTAGAGAAACTGGAATTGTTGTTAAAGAGAAGCCAAATTAGTTCAGATAAGGGATTTAGAATCACATCAATAGTTGTCAGAAGAATTTTTTTTAGGCTAGGATTAGGACTGTTAGATATCTAATTTGGATTAGAGCTACTGGACCATGTGATTACTTTTGAAGTTTTTATCCTTAATATCACTGTGTTGTGCATCTGTAGGTTACTCTCCTTTGTCGAGGTTCTGAAGATTCAACTCAAAATGCATCAACAGCAAGAATAGGCATTGTCAAGGTTTGACCTTGTTCTATCTAGTATTTCTTTCATCTTAGTTGTGGTTACATAATGTAATTAGTGTGTAATTAGTGTGTAACTTCTGCAGTCATTAATTGGGCATTTTGATCTGGACTTTGACATTGTAAGTTTTTTCTAATCTCTGTCAATCATCTTAATTCACTTGATGATTTAGGCTATTTTGCAGTGTTTTGTATCTGTTGAATGAATTTGTTAAGAATGTGATAGTTGGGATTAATTATTTGAAGACAATAATTTTCTGATCCTTTAGGTGTTGGAGTGTTACGAGCTTCAGCCAGATGATAATGCTTTTTTGCAATTGATTCCCATCTTCCCAAAGGTTCGGATATCATTATATTCTGGTTGAGATGTAATGATAATTCTATGTTATCCTGCATCTGAAAAATATTTCTTGCTTGTTTCTTTATGTGGGAAATCATTTAGTTATAAGTGGTTGTATTCTGTAATCTGCTGATTGTAATCTGTATATATCTGTATCCCTAAAATTGAGAATTTGTATCTCTAGAATTAAGGACAGAATATCAAGATATACAATTCCTTGATTATAGGGATTAGATTTAGGAATATTTAGTTTCCTAGTTTACCCTCTAGATAGTTGTATTTAAATCTATGGTGTTTGTATGATTCCATACACAAGTTTTTCAATAGACTCATTTTTTCACATGGTATCAAAACTTTAGACTCTTCTTGGGAAGAAAATTTTTCAGCCTTCATTGCTGAATGTTTTTTTTTAGGCCTTCATAGCCTTCAAATTCTGTTAAGTCTGTCATACTTTTATTTTTTTTCCTTTTTGGCCTTCATTGCCTATACTCGTTTCAGTCCTGAAAAGGTAACCATGTCAGAAATTGCAGAATCTGCTGCTACTACTCGATTTGGAGAAGTAACAACTGGTCAAACCATAGGGGAACTACAGAATATCCAAGCTGCATATAGATTGAATGGAAAGAACTACTTGAAGTGGTCTCAGTTGGTTCAAACCTTTCTAAAAGGGAAAGGAAAATTGAGCCATCTTCTTGGCATTGGTCCTGAGAAAGGAGATCCAAATTTGAGGCTTGGGATGAAAAGGATTCTATGGTTATGTCATGGCTGTGGAATTCTATGACACCAGATATTAGTGACACTTGTATGTTTTTGTCCACGGCCAAAGACATTTGGGAATCAATTCGTCAAACCTGTTCCAAAGTTAAAGATGCTGCTCAAGTTTATGAGGTAAAGATCAAGATTGCAGCTCTCAAACAAGGGAATAAGTCAGTCACAGAGTATGCTATTCTTCTTAAAAATCTTTGGCAAGAGATGGATCACTATCGGTGCATAGAAATGAAGTGCAGTGAAGATGCAACAACTTTGAAGAAATTTATTGAAAAAGATCAAGTCTATGATTTTCTTGCTGGATTGAATGTTGAGTTTGATCAAGTCAGAGTCCAAATTCTGGGAAAACAGGATCTGCCTTCTTTAAATGAAGTGATATCCATGGTTAGAGCAGAAGAGAGCAGAAGAGGAATGATGCTTGACAGTGTGCATGTAGAAGGATCTGCTATGGTCTCTAATGGTGGGAAGAACCAAAGCTTAGAACAATTACCAGTCAGTGAGAATGGGAAAGGTGATTCGGCTAAAACTTCAAATCGTGACAATCTTTGGTGCACCTATTGCAAGAAGCCAAGGCACACCAGAGATCGTTGTTGGAAACTACATGGAAAACCTTCAACTTCAAGCAAAGAATGGGGTTATAAAGGAGGACAACCAAGAAATCAAGGACAAGCTCACATGACTGCAAAGGAGTTAAACCAGGAGAAGTCTCAGGAACAAGGAGAGTTGGATAAAAAAGAGATTGAGAAATTGAGAAGCCTATTGGGAACTCTTGAAAAGGCTACTGGTGTATGCTCCTTGGCACACTCAGGTAAAGACTCTAGTGCAGGTAAAGTCTCTAATTCTCATGGATTAAATGTCTCAGATAAGTCCATTAAGAGTTCTTGGGTCATTGACTCAGGAGCCATAGACCACATGACACATTCTTCACAAAAGTTTAGTACATATACCTTATGTCCTGGTAATAAGAAAATTACTGTTGCAGATGGTTCACTTACTACAGTGGCAGGATTAGGAGATGTTCAAATTAATCCCTCATTCGTTCTTAAAAATGTTTTTCATGTTCCTAGATTGTCTATTAATCTGATATCTATACAAAGACTTACTAGAGACATGAACTGCAATGTAACTTTTTATCTCTCTTACTGTGAATTTCAGGATCAAGGTTCGGGGAAGAAGATTGGACTTGTTAAGGAGAAGGATGAACTATACTATCTTGAGACATCCAACAACATAAGTAATATCAAGAATAGTTTACCTTTGTCATTTCTTTTTGAACAATCTTCCAATAAAGACAAAATCTGGCTTTATCATTTTCGTCTTGGACATCCTTTTTTTGGAACTTTGAGAAAATGTTTCTTTCTTTGTTCAAAGGATTAAACGTTGAAGATTTTAATTGTGATGTTTGTGAACTTGCAAAACACAGACGTGTATCTTTTTCAATTAGTAACAAAAGAAGTTCTACTCCTTTTTACTTATTCATAGTGACATTTAGGGTGCCTCTACAGTTCCTAATATTTTTGGGGCAAGATGGTTTGTTTCATTCATAGATGATTGTACCAGGGTTTTTTGGGTTTTTTTACTTAAATCCAAATCAGATGTGAATAGTGTGTTTTTTAGCTTTCAAAATATGATTCAAAATCAATTTAGAGTGAGAATCAAGAGATTTAGGTCGATAATGTAAGAGATTATTTCAAGTAGAGTCTATCCACCTATTTCCAAAATGAGGGGATTATCCATGAGTCATCTTGTGTTAATACCCCACAGCAAAATGGAGTAGTACAGAGAAAAAACAGCCATTTACTAGCCACAACCCGAGCCTTCATTTTTCAAGCAAATGTGCCCAAATCTTACTGGGGGGAAGCTGTTCTCACTGCTACTCACATTATAAATAGGTTACCTTCAAGGGTTTTGGGATTTAAAACTCCTATGGAACTACTTTTATAATTTTATCCCAACCTTAATACCACAAACAACCTCACACTTAGGATATTCGGTTGTACATCATTTGTTCATGTTCACAGTCATAATAGGGGAAAGTTGGATCCAAGAGCAATTAAGTGTATCTTTGTGGGGTATTCATCAACTCAGAAAGGGTATAAGTGCTATCATCCTCTTACCAAAAAATTCTATGTGTCTGCAGATGTCACTTTTGAAGAAAGTAAACTATTTTTTACTTAACCTTATCTTCATGGGGAGACATCATTTATAGATAAAGACTTCTTTTTGCTTGACTTGTCATCTTCCTCCAAAACAGTTTCGCCTATTAATTCTTTTGAGCCTAAACCCATTTCTTAAAAGTCCAAGTCAAACACTGATTCTAAATCTGAACCCATTCCAAACATAGAAGTTGTGATTAAGGATAATACTATTCTTGATTTTGTGAAAGAATTACAGGTGTACTCAGGAAAGAAAGTTCCAGCTCCTGAACTAGTGCAAATCCAAGAACCTGATCTTAACTCTGGAAATGATGTAATTACAGTCTCTGATTCTATTTCTCAAAATGAGCATGGCTCTCCTAAAATTAGTGATTATGATTTACCTATTGCCATTAGGAAAGAAACTAGAGAATGTACTAAACATCCATTATACCCAAAAAAGTTTTCACCATCCCATAAAAATTTTTTTGTGAGCCTAAATACTATTTCTATTCCAACTACATTATTTGAGGCATTATCCAATGAGAAATGGAGGCAGGCGATGAAAATAGAAATGGAGGCCTTAGAGAAAAATAAGACATGTGAACTAGTAGAGTTGCCTGTAGGAAAATATCCAGTTGGGTGTAAATGGGTTTTCACTGTAAAGTATAAGACAGATGGTACTATTGAAAGATACAAGGCCAGGCTGGTGGCTAAGGGCTACACTCAAAATTATGGAGTGGATTATCAGGAAACTTTTGCTCTAGTTGCCAAGATGAATACAGTTAGGATTTTATTATCCTTGGCGACAAATTACAATTGGGAGCTTCAACAATTGATGTAAAGAATGCTTTTTTACATGGTGATTTGGAAGAAGAAATATATATATGAAAGTTCCACCGGGATTTGGGGGTCATCTAGAAGCAAAAAAAGTATGCAAGTTGAAAAGGCTTTATATGGCCTTAAACAGTCTCCTAGGGCCTGGTTCGGGAGATTTGCCAAAGTGATGCTAGGAATGGAATATAAACAGAGTCAAAGGGATCACACACTGTTTATCAAGCACTCAGATTCGGGTAAGGTCACAATTCTATTAGTATATGTTGATGATATAATTGTAACTGGAGATGATGAAAAAGAAAGAGAGTCTCTAAAACAGTGTTTGGCCAGAGAATTCGAGATAAAAGAGCTAGGGAGATTGAAGTACTTCCTAGGAATTGAAGTAGCCCACTCACGTCATGGTATTTTTATCTCACAACAGAAATATGTGATGGATCTTTTGAAGGAAACTGGGAAGCTCGCATGTAAACCTGCAAGTACCCCTATAGATCCTAATCATAAGCTTGGAGAAGCTAATGAAGATGCTGCTGTAGATAGGGAGATGTACCAGAGATTAGTTGGAAGACTTATTTATCTCTCACATACTAGACCTGACATAGCATATGCTGTGAGTGTGATAAGTCAATTTATGCATAGCCCTAAAGAAGTACACCTACAGGCTGTCTACCGTGTACTACACTATTTGAAGGCTAATCCTGGGAGAGGTATCTTGTTTAAAAGAAATTCAGGGTTGGTACTAGAGGCATATACAGATGCTGATTATGCAGGTTCAGTAACTGACAGAAGATCTACCTCAGGCTACTGCACTTTTCTAGGTGGTAATCTTGTAACTTGGAGGAGTAAAAAATAGAATGTGGTGGCAAGATCAAGTGCTGAAGCAGAGTTTAGGGCAATGGCTCAAGGAATTTGTGAACTACTATGGTTAAAGATTATTCTAGAAGACTTGGAAGATCAATGGATGGACCAATGAGACTTTACTGTGATAACAAATTTGCAATAAGCATTGCACACAATCCTGTGCAACATGACAGAACAAAACACATTGAAGTAAACCAGCACTTCATAAAGGAAAAACTAGACAGTGGATTGATTTGCACCCTATATGTATCAACCAAAAGTCAACTTGCAGATGTGTTGACTAAAGGCCTCAACAGTACAACATTTTAGGAAATTATTTCCAAGATGGGAATGGAAAACACCTATTCACCAGCTTGAGGGAGAGTGTGGGAAAACATTTAGTTACAAGTGGTTGTATTCTGTAATCTGCTGATTGTAATCTGTATATATCTGTATCCCTAAAATTGAGAATTTATATCTCTAAAATTAAGGACAGAATATTAGGATTGACAATTCCTTGATTATAGGGATTAGATTTAGGAATATTTAGTTTCCTAGTTTACCCTCTAGATAGTTGTATTTAAATCTATGATGTTTGTATGATTCCATGCACAAGTTTTTCAATATACTTTCATTTTTCCACACTTTATGATTTCATGCAGTCTCATGGTTTCTTTATGATTTCATGCAGTCTCGTGCTTCACAAATTCTCGGTTTTAAGTTTCAATACTATCAGTGCATGGAAGTAAATACTCCTACACTGTTTGGTCTCTTTAAGCTTGCAGGTTTGCTATTGAAGGAAGAGTTTATTGATCTTGATGGCATGTGAGTTTGTTGAGATCCTTTGTCCTCCAATATGGTGATTCCTGTTGTTCTAATTTTTGAGCAAATCCAGTTTGCACATTTTTACTTGTCCTGCTGTTTGTTGTAATTGTCTTTAAATGTTGATATCAGAATCAAAGTTTTATATAGTAATGGAACATGTTCTTCTTGAAGTCGGATCCAAACACTTTTGATGTATAACTTGATATGGTTACCATTTGACATTTGATAATCCATGCTTGAAGTGGCAAAGTGATAAATAAAATGCTTATGTGCATTATATGTTGTGTCAACATGGTCACTGGTCTTATGTGATGTGACTTGTTTCATGGATTTTCATTTAGTATATAGTTGATGTTAATAATTTTGTTTTTCCTATTGATGGCTTATTTTGACATTTAAATCAGCTGTCTCTATCTGTAATTTTCAGCTTATCTGATTTATACATATATGCAGCTATGCTCATTTACTTCCCAAGGATGATGAAGCGTTTGAGCATTATAATGGTTTCTCTGCAAAACGACTTGATGAGTTATTCACTGTTTTTGTTTACAATTTTATGCTAGAAATTCTTGCTTCAATAAAAGATTGTGGTGCTTCCATTTCTTTCTTAAAGCATTTACGTGTCTGAGTTATTTACATAATTTCATTTTCTTGATTTAAGCATTGATAACTCTCCATTCCCCTGCCCTCCTTCAGAGAGATTGATGAACAATTTTTGTGGTTAAATCTGTACAAGTTACCTCCGGATATTGTTAACTTGTTTTATCCTGCAATTCTCTGTATGCACCTTAATTTCTGCAGGCTAACAAAATTGGAAAAATAAATCTTGCTGCTATTGGTAAGGATCTCATGGAGGATGAGAAACAAGGCAATGTAACAATAGACCCTTTTGCTGCTCTAGATATGGAAACTGAGGCTGTCGCAGCTTGAAAATAACCAGACTTTAGGCTTGCTTACTGGCTTTCTTTCTGTAGATGATTGGTAAGCTTGATTGTACTTTGCTGCCTTTTGAGCTGGCTTTGTTGTGCTTTGGAATTTCTATCAATTTCTTTCCACTCTTTCTCTCTATCTAACTTTTAATTGAAATTATTTCCTCAATCTTGTTCCACTGTTTCCTTGTTGCAACTTTTAAATTGAACATACCAGTTTCTGTTTATTTGATTTTGTCTTTGTTTACACACTTGACACTTTCAACTTGTTTTCCTCCTATCCTTCTTTTCCGAGTTTGTTCTGGGCATTCCTGCTCTCTATTGAAATTTTGATATGAAATTGTACTGGTGAATTGAGATTCTACTTTTCTGTAACCAGCTGTGTGCTTAGGTCATATCTTCGCATATTTTAAAATTGGGATGTCTGCAGCACCAGATCATCCTATGACAGCTTTAATTACTAAAAGCTTGTAAAAGTTTACTTGAGCAGCAATTATGTGATTGTGTTGACAGTATTATTATACTTGTGAATGACCTACTGTAGAGTGTTATTCATTTAATTTTTGAGTACTTTTGTTAGCCTCAAAGAGAAGACAGTTGATGCTGTATCAGCTTTTCTTCTTTTTGAGAATTTTGTGACTTTTATTATTGATCTTTCGGATTTTCACTTAAGATATCATACTTCTCAGGTACCATG